CAGGGAAGATCCCTGCCAGCCAAACACGAAAAGATCAGTGCCAATGATCCCCCTCCCCCACTTGACTAACTGCAGGGAAGGATTTCTTTTCAGCCACAGGCAAACAGCCCAGTAGGAACGGCCACCTCTGTCCCCTTAATTAAATTCTCGTATTTCAACCAGGTTACCATGAGCGATATCACTCTCCTGAGGATAACACAGCGAGATAAAGAACGCATGTTGCTTGAATGCCAGCAAACACCAGGACTATATGGTACCAAGCTTTGTCATGCAATGATACCAGATTACTTGCTACTAGCATGGCGTGGTCAAATGTCCTACCATGGAGGAGGAATAAGGCTGCACTGCCCAGAACCCTTCTGGAAAGGCTTTTGGATTACCTCCAGGAGAGCTTCATGGAGATGTCCCTGGAGGATTTGTGCTCCATCCACAGACATGTTAACAGACTTTTCCAGTAGCTGTACTGGCCACGAATGCATCCCAAGTCCTCAGGGCAAATTAATCATTAAAAAACACTTGCTTTTAAACCATGTTTTATATTTACAAAGGTACACTCACCGGAGGTCCCTTCCATGGCCTCATTGTCTGGGGGTTGGGAGGGTACTTCTGTCAGGCTGAGAAAAAGATCCTGTGTGCTCTCTGCGACCTCGTCCTCCTCCTCCTCCTCATCTTCCCCGTAGGCAGAATCCGCAGGCATGGCTGAGATTACCCCCGCCTCGGAATCCATGGTCAGAGGTGGGGTAGTGGTGGCAGCCCCCCCAAGAATTGCATGCAGCTCAGCATAGAAGCGGCATGTTTGCGGCTCTGCCCCGGACCTTCTGTTTGCTTCTTTGGTTTTCTGGTAGGCTTGTCTGAGCTCCTTAACTTTCATGTGACACTGTAGTGAGTCCCTATTGTGGCTCTCCCCATCATGCCCTTGGAGATTTTTTCAAAAGTTTTGGCATTTCATCTTTTGGAACATAGTTCTGCTAGCACTGAATCCTCTCCCCATATAGCGATCAGATTCAGTACCTCCCGTACGGTCCATGCTGGTGCTCTTTTTCGATTCTCGGACTGCATGGTTACCTGATGAGCTCTGCATGGTCACCTGTGCTCTCCACGCTGGGCAAACAGGAAATGAAATTCAAAAGTTCACGGGGCTTTTCCTGTCTACCTGGCCAGTGCATCCGAGTTCATATTGCTTTCCAGAGCAGTCACAATGGTTCACTGTGGGATAGCTCCTGGAGGCCAATACCTTCGAATTGCGGCCACACTAACCCTAATTCGAAATGGCAATACTGATTTCAGCGCTACTCTCCTTGTCGGGGAGGAGTACAGATATCGAAATTAAGAGCCCTTTATATCGAAGGAAAGGGCTTCGTTGTGTGGACGGGTGCAGGGTTAATTCAGTTTAACGCTGCTAAATTCGAGATAAACTCCTAGTGTGGACCAGGCCTGGGTGGAATATTCAGATAGGTATCCATTGAAAAGTTACATTCAACTCTTATTATATTCTCCCTGGTTATCCCATGGTTTTACAATTTTATTTAATATATGAGCCATTGATCTGCTCATATTCCTGTGCTAAACTGCAATTCTTTCTAATTCTTTTCCTGTACATCCTGCATTTGCTCGTTCAGTTTGATGTCACCTCCAAAGTAACTTGTTGGTACTTCGTTCCTGTGAGTCATTTGTTATTGAAGGGCTTACTTTTCAAATAGGCTGCTAAAACTGTGTGCCAGTTATTTGCCTTTGCAGTTTTAAGACTGCAAATCACTTGCAGGTGCAAATAATATAGACATTTGCCTAATTTGCTGGCACAATTATATAGTTAGTAGTCTGCATCCTTTTGTTAGCACCTGCAAGTGGTTTGCAATTTCAACATTTTGGGTGTGAATGGTAAGGGTGCAAAATTGTAAGTTCAGTCTTTGGGCCGGATTCCACCACTCTAACTAACTACATGTAGTACCTTCCTCCACAAATAGTCCAGGAGAGTTTTGGAAATTTGACCCAAAAAGTATTGTGTACAATACTGATCACTGTAGCTCTTTACAAGTTGCGTTCTTCCCCTGTATAGTGGTCTATCATTACGTTCTGCCCTCCATCATCTGAACAGTTCCCTATTATTTCAAGAGGAGTGTCTTCTATTTTATTATTGCTAATCTGTACACACTAATATTAATCTACCATGAGGTATCATGTTAAAATCATTTTGAAATAGAACTGAACATTTCTCAATTATGTGTTTGTTGGGATGAGGTCTTATATTTCATTTGCTAAGTATGCTTCGTCTTAGTAAATATGATGGGGGAGCTCCAAGGAAAGCCAGGATGTTGCAGGAAGTAGTGATTGCGATTCAGGAGGTGGCACTCTTCCCTCTGAGCCAGCACTGAACCAATGCCGATGTTAAGTATCAGAGGGGTAGCTGTGTTAGTCTAGATCTGTAAAAAGCTACAAAGAGTCCTGTGGCACCTTATAGACTAACAGATGTATTGGAGCATAAGCTTTCCATTACATGTGTCTGACGAAGTGAGTATTCACCCATGAAAGCTTATGCTCCAATACATCTGTTAGTCTATAAGGTGCCACAGGACTCTTTAATGCCTATGTTGGAATTATTAATAATATTTGAAATTATTAATATTAATATGGGAAACCACAAACACTGATTTAATTATACATTCCTTTATTAAATCCAGAGGCCAAAGGTACTTATACAATTGCTCTAAACATACCTAAAAAAGCCTAAATAATAAGCAATTTAGTACATCCAAACAGTAACAAAATATTGATAAACATTTAATCACATGGGCTAAACCCCTGGGTGCTCAGACACATGTTGGTTGGCTCCAGTGTGGTCAGGGAGGTATTGGCAATGAACCTTTTAAGAGTCAACTTCTTTATACTCAGCAAACAAGTGATGTCACAGCCAAGTACTGATTTCAGCTAAAAACTAACCTGAGACAGTTTACCCTTATTACCAGTTTTAATCCAGATAAGATTAACAGCCTCTTTTCTTCCCAAGGCCTTTCCTCCCCTCCTACTTCCTGCCCAACAGTTTTTCCATTGCACCAGAATTCACATAGGCTTCAACACTGGTATGCGGGGTCAGAAGGTCCATGTTGGCTCCTTTTAAGACAGATTCTCTTTGACTTATTTAAAACTATCTGCGGTCACCTCTGTCAGTCAGATGTCTCCTATTTAGAAATCTTCCCTTATTTTGTTAGTTATTCTTTGAACCAGGCATCTTCCCTGCTTCATACCTTCTGGCCTTATGACTTTTTTATTATTTTCAAGGCCTTTCTTCTACTTGCTAGTCAGGGTCTTTCTTTACCACACACATATTTCCTTAGCCAAACTTAAGCTAACTCGAATTCTATAATTTCACATTTATCCTACATCCTATTTGGTGGTCAAGTGTTGGACTTGGAGATGCTGTTGTTTGGCTTAGACTCCAGTTCACGGTAATTAAAAATCCTATGGCACTTTTTGCAAGAGTTACAGGTGCTATTCTAAGTGTCATGACCATATTCTAATACCTAAATTCCCTCTGCAGCTGCAAATACACATGTTGGTATTCTTAACTTCCTGCTCTAAATGCTTCTGCAGTGTTCTGTACCTGTTAAGGAACCACTACATTCCACCCTGGAAAGGGCTACACTTCATGGTGGGTGAAGTGGTTTGTGTGTGTGTGTGTGTACATGTTTTGGGATCCTTTTTCATGAAAGGTTCTATATAAATGTCACATTATTATTAGAAGTAAGACTAGTAGTTTAATAATAGTAGTATCTTAGAGTATATTGTTTAATACCAAGGTCAAAGTTGTTTGTTATATGTTCCTGGTTTCTCCTCTGTCCCTTTCTTAAAGATTGTGCTTAAATGTGTATTCCTGTGCTCCCGCAGTACTTTTCTTCTTTCCAGAGAGCTATTAAAAATCTCCATTAGTGGAACAATAATCTCTCTTATTGTCTACTAGATAGCAGCACTAGTGACCAGCTGCGATTAGAATAGAAAAACTGCATGGATAAATTCCACTAAGATGTAATTAGGAGCAAAAAAAAATATTAAAAACCTCTAATAACTGAAAAAGTGTAGCAGAATATAGTAGTATGTAATTGCTGGAAATAATTATTGTGAAACAGAAGTTTTAGTACTATTTGGACAATTATGATAATATTACTGCACTTCAAAATATCTAAATACAATAACTCTAAAGCACCTACTGTAAATAGAGTTTACCACCTTTAGCTGGTCATGGTCAATCTGGTTTCCTAGTACAGACAATGTGCATATGCATATACGTGCAAGTTCTCATAAGGTGGCATTATCATGATATTTGGTCAAATCCCCAAATTATTGAAGTGTACATGTCACATATATTTCTTTTTCTCCTTATCCTGTCTGGTCAGCTGGGACTACACATGTGTTTTTTGTTTGTTTTGCTTTTGTGATGTTATTGTGGGAAGGCTGAGTCAAAGAAATGGGTTTTGCACTTACTGTGAAAGTGCTGAGGTTCATGATCATCCTGATCTTTTCTTGGGGTGAAATTCTGTGTTTTTCATGCATTAATTTCACTCTTGTTGATGACCATCCCATGTTTCCAGTGGAACATAGATCTTTGTCTGTGGTCATGATCATGTAGAGTGAAACAGTCCCCAGGTAACTTAAGCCAGTCCTCAAAAAGGCTTTGAAAAATAGGACTGAAACTTTGTATTTGGCCTAGTACTCAGGAGGGAGACAATGAAGAAAATAGAGCATTGGGGGACGCACACTTGATGGCCCGTTTTTTGAGCAGTTGGGCTGCTTTGTTCAGAACAAACTGTAGCTTTTTAAGGTCAGTGGTCTCATATTTAGGTACAGAGTATTACAGATTGAGCCTGGAAGTGATGAATATATGGATTGGTGTGGCTAATTACAAACAGGTCAGAAGCTGTGCTATCCTCTGGCCAGCTATAGAAGGAAAAGTTCATATATACATACATTAGAAAGAAAAATAATGCAAATGTTTGTCTTTTTTTCAGTGGTGATTTATGAACTCCATGTATATACTGGGTCTAAACTTGGTGCTGAAACAGATTCTAATGTATATGCCACCCTCATTGGAACGAGAGGAGATTCTGGCAAGAGAAAGCTGCATAGAGCTAAGAATAATAAAGTCAAGTTTCAGCGTGGACAGGTAAAGGAAAAAATATGCAAAACTGATCAATGCTAGCAAATTATTTGTAGCAAATAGTTTTTTCAACATATGTAGATATTTTCTGTTTACACATTTATCCTTGAGCAATTCAGTTTTCTCAGATATTTATTCAAAATTATTCACAGAATTAATTTATTTAATAATATTTGGCCTGTAGATTCTGAATGAATAGTTTACTGTGAGTATTGGATATTCAAAATTCATGCTCTGTTTAGTTTTGATTGGACACATAGATCACGGGGTTACGGTAGTGTTTCTGTTGCCTGATTAGGTTAATGTAATTCTTAGAATCAAGTTACATTCTGCTACTGCCCCCAACACACTCCCTACACTGGGGGCATACTGAACTGATACACTAAACGGTAGGCCTTAGAGGAGGTAGTATAGAGTTGGCCATGCTAGTTCTGTGCTGCTAAGGGTATGTCTACACTGCAATCAGAGGTGTGACTACAGCACATGTAGACATACCGAGGCTAGCTTTGGGCTGGTCTACACTGGGGTGGGGTGGGGATTGATCTAAGATATGCAACTTAGCTACGAGAATAGCGTAGCTGAAGTCGACATATCTTAGATCGATTTACCTCGCGTTGTCGTGGCGCGAGATCGACGGCCGCGGCTTCCCCGTCGACTCTGCTTCCGCCTCTCGCTCTGGTGGAGTTATGGAGTCAATGGGGAGTGTGTTCGGGGATCGATTTATCGCGTCTAGACGAGACACGATAAATCGATCCCCGATAGATCGATAACTACCCGCCGATCTGGCGGGTAGTGAAGACGTACCCTTTGCTCTAGCTAGCTTGAATAACAATGGCAGTGTAGATATGGCAGCACAGGCAGCAGCACGGGCTAGCCACTTGAAAACATACCCAGCGTCTCAGGTGGAGTTGTACAGCCCATGCTGCCACCTGTGCTGCTGCTGTGGCTCTTGTAATTCAAGCTAGCTAAATCAATGCTAGCTCAGGTATGTCTACACATCTGCCACCTTTAAACAACCACCTTTATATATTAATATATTATATATTAATGTTACTTTAAGCAGTTTGTGCTTGAACCTGCCTAGGACATGTGCAGCATCATACCTATAGGCACCAAATAAAAAGCAATCATCAGCAGAGGAAGGGCAGCAAAACCTGATCCTGCATGAATGAGAACACATCCTCTTTCTTTGTTCATCAGCAGTAGGTGTACGACCCAAGAGGAGAACTCATTGCTAAATCTCTCATTAACATGGTGAGAATCGTGCTTACACCAGATGTCCTAAAACATACCCGTTCCCCTTTTTTATCCTCCTTGCTACCACTCAGAACAGAGGGCTAAGTGTTAACTTACATCTGGAAGCAACAATCTTGTCCATGCCCCTGAACATCATGCAAGGACCTACATGATCAAGGCCTTTATCAATCTCATTTTGATGTTTCTGCAGGTGGATATCTTCTTCATAAAGGCTGTATCACTAAGAGACCTGAAGAAACTTGTGATTAGCCATGATAGAACTGGTCCAGGTAGGAGTTAATTTTCTAGTGACTAATTTGTTTTGTGAGCTGTTTTACAGCACAATACTCTTTGTCTGTATATATAACATCCTTCATACAAAGTGTTACAAAAGGCCTTGCAGTGAGAAGACTAAAAAAGAGACACAAGTACTTATTCCTGCAGATTAGTCACAGTGGTGGGATTGTAGAAAGCTATGGTAATGGGCAGCAAAAGGCAACTGGGATGTAGTATCAAATAACGTCAGTTAGCTGTTGGTTTGCAAGCTGATTTATAACAGAGTGCTATTTATTTGTCATACGAAGTACCACAGAAGAATTCACAAGGGTAACTCATACAGAGCTGGATAAAATGATTCTTCTATAGACAGTGAATGAAAATGAGATACAGGAATAAAGTTAGAGCACTGATTTGACTGCCACTTTGCCACCAAGTGGAATCTCAGAGAACCATAACAACAACATCCTAGCGGTGACGAGGATGCAGAGAGAATCTGGCAGCACTAGGCCATTTGCTTCATGTGTACTGGGCAGTGTGGGATTGTTCCTGTGGATGGCATTATATATGCTCTGCGTGGTCTCAAACAAAATGAGAGTAGCCTTGATCATATCCGCGGATAAGAGGAGAGCCTCCTGCAGGGCCCTGAGATCAGTATCAATTTGTAATACAGTTGAAAATCACTGGCATGGTGTAAAAGAAAAGAGCTGACATTTTGAAAGGGCTACAGTAAAGTATTTGCAGACTAGAATCAGATTGGATCTCCTATGCTAAGCAGGGTCACACCTAGTCAATACTCATAATTGAGGATCAGATTGCATTGTTTTAGGCTCTGTGTAGACATATGGTCCTTGCTCCAAAGAGCTTACAATCTAATTAAGGACCAGATACAACGGGTAAATGTAACAAGCAATTGGAGGGAAGGCAGGGAGGAGCATAAGGGTTATAATAATAAGTTTGACAAGGTGAGTGAAATAATATCTTTTATTAGACCAACTTCTGTTGGTGAAAGAGACAAACTTTTGAGCTACATAGAGCTCTTTGTTAGGTCCAATAAAAGATATTACTTAACCCACCTTGTCTTTCAAATATCCTGGGACCAACATGGCTACAACAGCGCTGCAAACAATAATAAGTTTGCATAGTTACTTAAGCTTGCATTATGCACAATCTGATGGCTTCAAATAATTTAATTTACTTCAAATCATTTAATAATTTCCTTCTGCTCCTAATACTTGGCCGGAATGGGCATTGCCTAAGAAAAAACCCAGTGCACCTGGAGGTGTTCTAATGATTCAGTAGATGGCATTCTTCCCTCTGAGTCAGTACTGGACCAATGCCCTGCCCACTGTCCTGTGGAAAATATCTTTTGGATAAAATGTGAAAACAAGGTCTTGAACATTCCTTTTGTCCTTTTTACAAGAATGCTAGTGTTAACCGGGGCATCATGGCCAAATTCTAAATTAGGTAATTGTATTCAGCCTACCTACATTTGTCCTATGTTTTCAGTTGACTAACTTAATTCCTCTCTTTAAAGTGGTGCTTATTATGTATGTCTTGCCCCAAAAGTTGCTAGTCACTTGTTTAATATTGCTGGTAGAGAATGGCTGTTATGTTCTGCCCCAGAGAATGGTGATTGGTGAATGGTAGTTTGGTGATAGGTAAGTGAACTCTATATGATTAATCTGTTAAAGGCTTGTATCTTTCACAATCTAAGTGTTACATAAATGTAAGTTATCTGATTACCTTGGGCAATAACGTATAAGAAGTTGAGTTAAGAGTGCACTTTGCTCTCTTTATAGAAGGAAAAAGCTGAACAAAAATGTGCCCTTGAAACCAAGGCTTGAAGAAAACACAAATTTGAAAGGCTTAGTGAAGACGTTTTCACCTCAATAGAAGAACCCCTTCTGTTCAATATATTTTTTTCAGTCAGAATTAGTTAATCTAATAGTCATTCGGTTCTTACACCATACTTTGCCTTGGTGGTTTATTTAAAATGATTTTTATTGAACTCTTTTCAAGATTGAAAGCTTATATTTTTAAGAGACTGTATAAGGCTATTGTAAGAACACACATGAATGAGGATGTTATATATTAATCCAATCTCTCCGAATTCATAATGTCATGTACTTCATTCCCAAAGGACCAAGGATTCTGGTTCTTACAGTGAATCATGGTAAATTGCACAAGCAGAATGTTTTCTCCATATGTGAACCTGAACAAAGGGAATAGAAGAGCATAGGCTGAAGTGGGAGTGGTGGTAGCAGTTTACAGATGCTAGTACACTCCTGTCGCCACACAAAGAATACTCTGCTGGAATCAAGATAGTCTCTTGCCTGTGCTTAGGAATATTGTGCCTTAGTAGTAGAATGGGAATCTTGTGAGGGTATTAGGTTAATGTTTTCACTTCTTTAGCTGAGTTTTGACATAATGAGATCTGCTGTTGGGAAAGCAGTTGTTTCAACTTTTCTCTTCAAGATATTTTTTTTCTCCACAAAAATACAAACTTGCAAGTAAACTTTTGTCATTTCAACCCAGGCAATGGATGGTTCCTTGATAAGGTGGTTGTCAAATTTAAAGAGGAAGATGATGATCAAGAAGCTGTGTTTCCCTGTAACAGGTATGCCATTGATGGGAAATCAGAATTGTAGTATGTTATACTGCGAGCAGCTTAAGGAAAACATTGCAAGACAGGAGCCAAACACTTAAAAAAAACCACTTTGCTGCCTGCACAAAGCCTGAATATATGAATCCTGCCCAGCAGTCTTCCAGGGAGTAAGGGGTGAACAGAATTCACTGCTTCAAGCCATGCAGAAAAGGCTGCTGGATTGGCATGGGAGGGCATGGAATAAGATGGAAAAGGTCAAAAGCCAAATGTTCTGTGGGTGAAAAGGTGCAATAATTTTTCCTTTACCTTGCACATACATAACATATAAAACTAAATAAAGTTTCAATTCTCTGCTCCTTAAAAGATATTACGTTAAAAGTTTCCAATCATATGGATTTAGGCCAGTTCATTTTGCATTTCCCAGTCACTAAAGGTCATTAGAGTGAACTTAATATATTGGAAATCTTTGAAGAGAACTTTATATCTAGGTGCAAAAATAGTTAGTTGATATTGTCTTAGAGGATAGATAAAATGTTTCTGCTAACTTAGCAAAGGTCTATTTCCTTGTCTCAATGCTGGCTCTAGAATTTTGCTGCCATAGTCAAAATTGAAAAATATCCAACTCTCTCAGCCTCCAGTCAGAGCCACTAAACGTTCTTTTGCTCCAGATATTTTGCCACCCTAGACAACAACCTAGCCTTCAGCAATTTGTATGTTGAAGCAACTACCATATAAACTTCAGATAGGTTTGCAGTAGAAAGAGTTATAGATGAATATATGTGCATGTGTGTATGATATCTATATCTAACACTGTAGAAATGATTCAGAGAAGCATATTTTAAAATCAAGCAGATTATGCATTGCAGTACAGGCTTTCCAAATACTTGGAGTATCTATACATTTGGCTACAAAATAGTTGTTCATGTCAGCTCAATCATTTTTTAGGGTGGGGGTTGTCTTACAATCTTGATTATCAATTAGAAATTTAGCTAAGAAAGGAAACATTGTCTGTTTTTAAGTGAAAATTCCCCTCTTAAAAATATTCAGTTTGCAAAAATCCTGCAAATTGTTAGCTAATAACTATTTTTTTCTCTAAAACTATTATTGTAATTATTAGTTTTTTTATCTATTAGGCTATTTAATTAGTTTGGTTTACATTAAAGTTGGTTATTTGAAGAGTAGACAATTGTTTCTGTAATGTCAGAGAGATTTTATAAGATTCCTCCTAAGGGAGGAATACTTGACTAAGACTGTGGACTTGCTATAAAACTGCCATGTCAAAAAGAACTTGTTAAGCACTAGAAAAAGGTTAGAGACATTATCTATAGAACTAGAGGGGCTCCGTAATTCTTTGCCTGCAGTAAGTGCTACCAATGAACCAAAGTTTCCTGTCTATTTTTAAAAATGGTTAGTGATCTTTTGGTTTCTTGGAGGGGATTAGAAGAGAATTCACAAAGGTTAATCAAGGTATTTATTGCAACAATAGTTTAAACATAATGGAGTCTAGTCTTCTCTCCATACACAAGAGTTTTATTCACATAGTTACTGTATGTGGAGAGTAGAATGAATTGCAGTTGTTTAGGATACAGCAAAAGGGAGCCAATAAGTTGGAAACTTATAATAATTACCAGTATTTTAAAATAAGAGAACTCAGGTAACGGCTGTAAAACGTTCTAATATGAGATGGGGGATCAGTTGATGAAGTATGTGGGGGTATTTTTGTAGCATGTCAAGTTTAGGGTTAAGCCCTTAAATTCTGTAATGTACAGTGAAGGGCAAAATTGAGGTGAAATTCACCATCATAGGTGACCAGTCCATAGAAGCTCTAGAAGCCTCGTAGATCTTAGAATCTAAGGAACCTGCCAATACTTACTCGTAACTACCAGGTGTAGTGCTAACTACCATGAGTAATCCCATTGCCTGTGGTATAAGTTGGCATAGTTTCATTGAATGAGGGAAGCTGTGCCAAATTAATACCAGCAGAGAATTTGGCCCAGTAAGTGTTTACAAGACTTAGCTTGACAAGAGATGCACAAAAAACATTGGTGAAAGGAGGGGAAATAATGCTGAGATTCCTCATAAAAAGATTAATTACTAACTGCCATAAGTCTAATTATTATCTCTTTACAATGAAAGATGGTTAGATGAATACCAGGATGATGGGAAGACCGAGCGAGAGCTAATTGCTAAAAGTAAGTATTCCAGTAAAGAGAATTTGCATTTTAACAATATTCTAGATATCAAATGACTAGTTATGGCTGAGAATATGAAAATTCTTTGTGAATCTGATTATAAATTTAGACATCTTAAGTAACTTTATCAGCAAACAAGTATAAAACTTTTTTATTTGTTTATTTTAGAAAATGGTAATTCACAGAAGGCATCCACCAAAGGTGAGAAACACTCTATATTCTCCTCCCAGAACTTTGACATTGAAGTTAAACTCAGTTTCAGTATAAAGTGAACAAATAAATGAAGCAAATTAGTTTCCTCACACAGTAATCATTTATGTAAAGTATCAAGTAGTAGTAAAGTATAGTCATCTATAAAGGTGACGTGTCATGTCTTTTCAAATGAATTGAGCAAAGGAGATACACAAACCATTTTTGGTTTTCTTCCCATTTCTATTATTCAGTCCTGAAATCAGTCAGAAATTCCTCTGAGAACAGATTTCAAGAACTGGTTTGTTTACCCAATGCCACTGTCATTTAATACACAGGGACAGCTCCCCCAACAAGCATCAGTGAGTTGAAAAATATATTGTGAAGTGACAGTGGAAACAGTTTCAGGTCAGAGTTGAGCAGAGTTTTTCTAAGAGTATCCAGAAATAATTTAGACTTAAGCTATAAAATTGGTCAGTGTAGTTAAACGCAGTATCTTCATTTGGTTGAATAAAATTGGCTGAGTAAATGAAATCTTAATATTAGAAATCTGTCTGTCTACTTACCTATCCACAGATATAGTGCCTATCATTGTAGTTGCTCAAGTATTAAACACTATAAATAACCTCTTTTTTCTTCCTTGCCAGCTTTAAGGAGAAATAACTTGATGAGTTCATAGGTATTTGATTTACATTTGTGGGTTAGTGTGGTGGGTGAGTTAGTGTCTGTATCTGAAAATCTTACTGAGGGAAAATAAAGTCAAAGAACAGAGCTTTGCATTTAGTTTTGAAAATGGTGAATTTTGTGGTTACTTATCTTTTGTGGGATATGCCCCATAGGCTAAATCTAGGTCCAACTTCAGCACGTTTGGTGTCCTGCTCTCAAAGTCTCCCCTATTGGTCAACAGTTGCATTGTTCCAGTGGAATGGAGCTTTCATGGATGGAGAGGCAATTTCTCAGGTAGTTAGGGTTATTCCCATGGAGAGCTTTGATTATCACATCAGAGACCTTGAAGTGGACTCTGCATTCAGTAAACATTCAGTTCAGATTGGAGCATCAGGGAGATGTGTTCATGGCAGCCTGTGTTGCTAAGCAGATGGACTACTGTTTTTTGTACTAGTCTGAGTTTTAGCAGGCTGTGTGACTTCATTCCGAGATGTATTCCATTGCAATAATCAAGCATGAATGCATGGATCATGACTATGTCTATGTCTGACAGGATGTGGCACAATCTTTTGGCCAGCCAATAAGGTAGTGAGGTGTTCTTCATCTCATGTCTATCTGAGCCTTTGGTAGTATTGAGGAGTCCAAAAGGACACCAAAGCTGATTTGTCAGTCTGAGGGCAGATGTTCTCAATAGTGGGAGTGTTAAAGAGGAAGCAAGTTTTTTGAAAAGCCTCCCTCAGCCTATCAGCAACACTTCCATCTTGCTCGATTCATTGTTAGCCATCTGTTCTTCATCCAAGTGTTGATTTCAGCTGGGCATGGAGAAAGCCAGGAGATGGTACTGTTTGATGTAAAGGAGATGTAGAGCAGTGTGTCATCTGAGTACTGGTGACATTTCAGCCTGTGTTGTCTAATCAGCTATGCCATATAGCTGTTGAATAATATGAGAGACAAGACTGAGGCTTGTGGGAGGTTAACAGAACAAAGGGGTTAGGAAGGAGGTCTTGAACTCAACCCACAGGTATCCACTCATGTGCAGTATCTGGGTGTATGTCAAAGTAGAGAGAACTCCCCAGAGCCACAGACCCTTGATGGAGAAGACCTTTGTTTTGACCTCTCAAATCTGCACCCAGCAGTTTCAACTCTGCTGTTCTCAATTGGTACTGCAGATCATAGTATGACAGGTATACACCCTCTCGCAGACTGTATTTAAGTCTTTAAATACTAAACACACTCACAGAATAATAGACAACCAGTGCATATGGCAGAACACTGGTGTTACTGATTCTCACAAGTGAAGGCCCTTGAGCAGTTTAGATGTCACATTCTTTAGTAATTGCAGTCTGCAAGTGAGTTCCAAGAGAAGCCATCAGAAAAAGGCATTGTAGTAATCCAGCCTTGTTTCAAGGTCACAGAGGCATGGAGCACTGTGCTGAGGTCTGTCTGAAAGCAAAGGTCACCACATCAAAATAGTTGAGAGATAATAAGCCACTCTTGAAACCCAGAGAATCTCCTTCTATCTGGATATGGCTAATGTTGCTCAGCCATCATCTTCCCCATTGCCTTCTCCTCAAATAGGGGTATTTGAAACTGAGCTGATCACCATTGTTAAGTAGGTCTCCTGAGCACTAGTTGAATCTCAGCACTTTTCAGTCAAGCTGCCACTCTACTTTCTATAAATGAAGTATTCATTCTAGAGACCAGCAAATGGGCTACAACACAGATATCCACGAGCTACCTAAGGCAAGGGTTCTGCCTGCAGGAGGCAGAGCTACACCAAGCTCCGGAGCATCCGCAGATCATAGATAGACTCTCTCAAACCAAGTAGGGCAGCAGATCTATTCATGCCCTCTTCATTGCATGTTGGGTGCGCGATGTAAGAGAGAGGGGTTCCAATACACTTGCCTTGGCAAAGAAGATGGATAATTGCTCTCAGCACTCAAATGAGAATCAAGGGAGAATCAGGGTGAATCAGACACTTCATGACTCTGTAAAGATTTGCTTTATATTGTAGGGATGCTTTCCTTTTTTTTTCTTCCCCCCCCCCTCCCCGCCCCTATGCCTCATGATAAGTGGAGTCTCAGAATAGTGCACAATAAGGGAAGAGGCAAGATATAGTGTACCACAGTGTTGTTTACATTGCAGTCAGACAAAAGGAGCTAGACTCCTGCAGTGTGGTTCATGAGATGCTCTGGGGTATTGCAGGAGTTTATGGGTGTTGCACAGAATGTGGTTCAGCAGCAGTGAAAGCAGTTCAGCTAACCGATATTGTCATGCAAGGATATTGGGCAGAGAGAGATATAAAAACAAATAGAAAACACAGAAAAATTTCTCCCCAGAAATTCCTCAGATTTTATTTAGTCCCTTCTCCTCCTTCACATTTCTGCTGATGGGGTAAAAATGATCACAGGTAGTCTACAGGCTCCTGGCAGGTTAATATTAGTCCATGTCACAGGCACCTCTGTTGCTACCCGGTGCACTCCACTGCCTGGCCATTATGTGTGGTCTCAGTCATGAACACACACCAGGTTGTTACTCTTTCACCATGTATTCATTCATTACAAAGTATTGTAGTGTAATGCTGGCTTAAAGCATGGGGAGGTTTCCCCACAGCCGTCACTCCTCAGCCCAGGCTCACCCTCTGGGCTCCCCCTTGCTTCCTGTTTCTTCCACTTATATCCTCCCAGTTATACTCTTAGCCCAGTGATTTTCAGTGCTCATCTCCCAACAAACTGCCTCCAGGTGGGCTTGCAGCCTTCTCCAGGCTACAGCAACGCCAGTGATCAGGTTGCTGCTGATAGTGCCCTGTGACAGCCCTGTTTATAAACGGCAGTGACAATGCCCTTTGTCAGGTGGAGTCTGAAGTTACTGAAGAAGCAAATCAAGCAGGTTGGCAAACTCTGTAGCAAGCTACTGAAAGACAAGCAAAGTAAGCAAGCTAAGAGACCAGAAAATTTCCATTATCTCTGTGCATTCCCTCAGTAAAATAATTTAAGCAGCTGCTACCTCTAAGAAAGTGGTATGTCCTTATCAGTCCTGAGAACATACAGCACTGATGTTGGAAAATCATAGAGCAATATCTACAAAACACCAACAATGACCTACATTGCTTATATAAGAAGAAGATGTAGCCCCCTGTATTATTTTCTTTTGATTTTCCAGTTTTCACTCTTAAAATATAGTGTCTGTTTTAAATGTTCTTGATTCTTTGTGCAGAAGTCACTGCAGGTTTGATTTTCTCACTTTTGCAGCTAGCATTTCTTCTATGCATCAAAGTGTCAAAGAGGTTCATTGGGAGGATGTCATTAAGGCTGATTCGGCTTCATTTGTGAGAGTTAACAAAGTGCCTATGCACTGGCAGCATTGCTGGGCTAACATGAAAATGAAAGCCTGTTACATTGATTTTTTAGAAGACAGAGAGAATTTTGATACTTTATTGAAAAACAGCCTTTCCACTTCCTCTCCCTAATTCATTTAACAAGTCCCAGACTGATTTTTCAAAAGAAAAGGACCATAGCTAATAAACATAACATACAGATGATACAATCCACTGACATTAACACAGTGAATGGTACGTGATATATTAAGTAAATGCATCTTTTTATATGTGGCCATGCAAGGTAGGTACAAAGGCCAAAATTTTCAATCCTGGTTATCTAAAATGAAGCACCTAAATAGTGGCCTGATTTTCAGAGGCGCTAAGCACCCAGAGCTTCCACAGATTTTAGTGGCAGATTTTGTCTGAATAAGGACTGAAAGAGGTGATGGGAGAACTTCCAGGTTTGGACAAAAACCAAATATGAATATAAAGCCACTATCCCAACCACCATTGCATTATACATCAACCAATTGATGTTTGCCACTAGTTCCTTTTCTAATGTAGCCATTTTTTAATAAGCAAATGTCCAAGGGAGCTGAAGTGTTAGACAAACATTTCTTCTGACTCTGGAGTGAGCAGATTGAAATGAATTTACCAAAGTGAGAGAAAATGCAATTAGGTTGGTTTGGCCAGGATACTGGACTGTGGCAGGAATGAAAAGTAAACGCTTGAGAACAAGCAGTTGCAGATGCCTAAGAAGCCTTAAATCTGTTAACCACTGATTCATTTCCTGGTAAACTCCCAACTCTTTGATCACTGATACACTAACCTTTCTTTGGAAATAATAATTAAGAAAAGATACAACCATGGGCAACAATTAAAATAAATCAAAGTGTTCAGAATGGCTTCCGGGTCTCATAATATGTGCTCAGCACGCTGCATCCTGCAGCAGAAAGGCTGCAACTATGTGTAACCCACACACCTCCTGAGTGTGGTGCTCTGTCCCATCTAGTGGCACCGAGACCACTTAGAGAGAGAGATAAAATGAGTCTGCTTTACAGCCTCAGCTAACAGCCAGTTGCTGTCATGCACTAAGCTCCAGAAGTCCCAGGTTTGATCCAGCCCACTGATGACTGGTGTCTGTCTGCGTTACATATGCACGGCTGCCTTCTCGCCTTGGGACAGATTCACCCTGGCTTATCCACCTTCTGCTCAAGTAAAGCAGGGCCCAGGTGGAGGAAAGTCTACTAGGGAGGCACTGTGATATAAGGTGGTGGTCACAATCTCCCTTCCATTAGGTTCTAGGGGCAGCCGGCACAGCCCTCAAAGAGAGTGGTGCTTATTGTAGATAGGGCATGGCCTGGGTGACTAAGGGATGATCTGACTCATTGTAGCCCTGCTTCAGCCCCTGTGCCTGTGGGGTTACTGTGCGAAGACCTGGTTGAAACTGAACAAACCAGTGGAATACCCAAAAGAGCAACAGTTCCAGCAATGACTTCCCTCGCCAGCATGAATTCCTAAGGGGCACAACATGCCAGGCTGGCACAGGGAGCTGCAATTTGCATCTCTATGCCTCAGCATGGCTGAAGCTGGCTGGCCATACATATCTAACAAATAAAGTTCCTCATTAGACAAGGTTTGTATCTGTCATATATTGCATCTGACTCATTCCTGGAAATAACCCTAAAAAGACAAAAGCTAGCCTGTCACCCACCAGACTGACTGTGAGCTGCATGTCTGCCTGCTGTGCTGTGTCTGAACCCAAAAGAGCCACAGAACAATCAGCTGTGACACAGAAAGTCTTCTCTACAGAGTGGGGGGTGGGACAGGATAAGCTACATAGAACAAAGAAGAAAACAGGAAAAAAGCATTAGCCAAGGAAACTAGAACAAACAGATGGAGGGGAAAAAAATAGGCAGGAAAAAATGCAGCTTAAGAACAGGAAAAAATACATCCAGGTTTATAAGTGAATTAAATGCCTCTAAAATTTCTCTTGACAACACACATTGTGGGTAGACACATGATCATGAAATAGTTTTCCTTTATATTAAAATCATCAGCAAATGACAACACTATAGAAATACACATCACAATCTAAGCACAGATTCTTAATTTCCTATCTCTGTTAGGTTCCTTCGCCCCCTACGATCAGCATGATCCCTCAAGGGTCAGTCATTTTGAAATCATGGGCAAATTCCATCCAGCCAGTAGGAACTACTCTTTTGGTCACTAGCATCCATTTAAGTCACACAGTATTGTTTTTGCTCCATGATCTGTTTTCTGCAACTTTTTTAAACAGGAGAATAATTCATAACTTTGATACAATTTCCAGGTATATTTTTGCTAGAATTCATGGTTTGCAAACGATTTCATTAATGCATGGCAACTGTCCAAACACACTCTAACAGGGCCCAATCCAAATCATGTTGAAGCAAAATGAAAGAACTCCCATTGAATTTTTTGGGCTTTAAATTGGATCCCTAGTGAATAATTTGATCCCTCAACTGAGTAGACCATTCTTATTGACAAAAATATTTAAAAATCAATCATGGTTTAATTTGTACTATTCAAGCAGCTCTGTGTTCTAATATTCAGTTGTTTCATATGACTCCTTTGTTAATGTCTTCCGTTTTAAATAATCTACCATCTCCTAAATAGATAAATAATTGTCATGTGAAATACATACATACATTAAGAAATTAAATTAATGAATGAATTAAATCAATTATATTTAAATAAAGACATAAATAAATATAATTAATGATACCAACCAATTTATTATAAATTATTACACTATTATTATAGCAATAAAATAATTAATGTAACCACTTAGTCAAGGATTCCTTTTCCCTTGTCCACATTATTAATATCCCCTTACATATCCACTCCTCAGCTGCAGTCCTGTGTACGTCATCTCTTATTTAGACTGTAATCTCTTTGAGGCAGAGGGTGTGTGGCTGTCCATTGTTTGTAAAGCATCATGTAAATTTATGACACTGTTCAAATGCTTTGTAGTAATAATGATGAACAAATCCCTGTGTATTCCCACTCACTGTTAAAAATATGATTTTTTTTTTGCTTTTATTTAGCACGACAATGGAGAGTGCAGGTTAAAACTGCCAGAGATTCCCCAGAGCCACAGAAGTGTAAAAGAACCCTTGTGATTTATGGCTCAAAGGGCAAAAGTGGTGACCTTCTCCTTTCTCCACAAAGCCCAGAATATGTGTGCTTTCTACCCAGAGCAACGGATGAATTCCTTGTAAGTCATCACTATACAATACTGCACTGAGATTATAATGACATTCTGCTCTAGCCAAAGGATATATTTGAAATGCTGCTTTGGTTGCTACAAATGACATAGTTATTTACAAAGATGGAATGATATAACTTTAGATCTTGGGCCATCCTCTTCCTGCAACCCTGCTCAACTTGTTACCAGATTTGCTCATTACTTTGGGGTACGCTCATTTATTAGGGTAACTCTTCTGGGTGGAGGGGTTCTGTAATTCTATTAATGTTCTGCTTGTGTCACTTGTGTTCTCATACGGAGCTCTACTTCTCCCTTCTCCAAGTTCCCTCCCAATGGAGCTATCCTGCAGGACCTAGGTTCCCAAAGGCTGGGTTCCTCCAGCCCCAGAACCAGATGAACTCACACACACACACACACACACACACACACACACACACACACACACACACACACACACACACATAACAGAGACAA